ATGTTTCATAAGACTCATAAATATATTAGTAGCTTTCTTAATTGAGTAACAGACAATTTTCCTTTTTCATTATTAAGCAGTATAAGTAGGTACATATACAGAAGGCGACATTAGTACTGTTTCACAATTGACCTAAAAAAATGGATAATAATCTAAAGCCGATGTCAGTGATTTGTTCATTTCTACCAAAAAGAAAAAGGTCGATTACAATTCGTTCCTTAGCTAACTGGTTGTAGTTCGTTTATTTCGACGATCCTTCTCATAATCTAGTTGTTTTTCCTTTCAAAATTCCCTTTCAATGTAAATTCCAATAACAAGAAACTGGAGAATTATTATTGGAAAATGGAACCAGTTATTTCTCGTTTGTGTCTATCGGAAGGGAGCAGATACGGAAAATCGGATTTTCCAATTTTATTTTATTAAAAATTATTTTTATTGTTGTCGTTTCTTACCGTTCGAATTTCGTTTTAAATTTAAAACAACCGAACACTCTTATTTTATTTAATTTGCAAAATATTTGTCCTTTTTTTCAAAAAATAAAAACAAATTTTTTCTGTTCTTTACTTGCCTCTGTAAATACCTGCTGACAGGTAAATGAGGTTGATAAGCAAATTTTCGGATTTAAGTCCTTTCCACGAAAAGTAAATTAATGTTTGTGATGTATTTAGTAGCACTCCTAATATTAAAAATGAAATGATTGTTTTTAATTTTGAATTTAAAATAAGTAGCCACTGTCAGTAATAACGCACATTTGCAAATATTTACAAATAATACCTATACATACATACAGTTATACATATATCAGTATGTATGTCGTATATTAACATTGAATTTACAAATGTTTTAGGTTTATTACCAATTTGAACTAGCTTGCTAGTGTTAAATTCACTAATATGCTAGGAATTTTATTATAATTATGCGATTTCTTGCGAAAATCCCCTAATTCAAATCATTAAATAATTTTTAATATTTCAATAAATATAATCGTAAAACAACCAACTATTTGTACAGTTAATCAGTGTTCTATACTGCTAATTTTTAGATCCGCTTAATTTTTCTTACTCGAATAGGTACCTAGTTGAAATGCACCTTTAATAATCGCTAAATATTTTCTTTTTAATGTAAAATTATTGAATATCCTTTAAAGAAATGTTGAAATGTAGATGCTGTTGTATTTTGCCTTTCAGGAGTTTTTTCAATATTTCCATTCGCTAATTCTATATTTAAATTTTCTTTTTGTGAACTTGTTAGCAACTAGTATGGATAAGCATACTGTCAACCTTCAATAAACCAGCACACCCTTGACTAGCAAGAGATAAAATCCACGAAATTTCAAATAATTACACCAATAATAGTACACACCTGTTACTATATAACGATTTATTAAACCTCAGGAGGCTCTTAATTAACCAAAACCTACCGAACCTAGATTTAAAACGTACGTTTAATAAATAATTCTTATTTATTATTAATAAATAATGCTTCTCCATTTTCTATTATCGTTAACATCAGGTACATACACCAATTTATAAGGAAAATAATATTTGGCGATTTAACAGTACTTAATTCTGGTTTGATTTACTGACAGAATTTTCAACGTCATTCTAGTAGTACGAAAATGGCTCGAATTATTTTTTAGGATTTGAACCCTTCTGACGCAGAAGGCCCTTTGGAAATCTTCGTTATATTTCCAGCTTTCGGCGCCTGTCAAAATTCGCAAAAATAATACGCTCGCTTTTCTGTTTTGACCGTTGATTTTGACTTAAAAAACGATAACATTTATAATGTGACGATAACAGTTCGCAGGATGCTTCGGAATTGTACAAAAGATTATTAGATTGAAAAATTGCATTGTCTAGATATACATGTTCTTAGGGTAGAACGCGATAGTGATAGGTAGGTTTTCTATACAATAACTGAATTAGCAAAAGGATGATTAGTAAANGTTTTCCTTCACCTTTCTAACAACTGATATTACCAACAATAATAATAATAATAATAGACACCTCTTTAGTCTTAATAAATTATTCATCAGTTCGCTCTTTATGTAATTAGTTAATTGCGTGTATCACCCCTCCACAGAATGACAAGGCATAATTTTAACGTTTAGAGTTCATTAACACCAAGCGGCGAATTTTATCAACATACTTGAAATTGAAAATTAAATTTTACACTATCTATCTATAGAAATAGAACGTGACCAGCATAATTTAGGAGAATAAACAACGGCTTCTCCGCTGAAACAGGTCCTTCATTATGAAAGAATTAATTAAGTTTTACAATATAAATCGCTTTTTATGAAGCAGAATTTTAAAAAGCGCTATTTTTCAAAAAGTATTTTTTTGTACATCCCTGCACAAATCTATTGTCATTGAAATGTAAAGAAATATAAATTTTTGTGTGCTCGAATTTTAACAATTTAAACTTTAAATATGAACAAATAAAATTTCAATAAACTGTAACTATGCGACAAGGTTATGTTTTTTAGATAGAACAAAAAACATTTATAAGTACATAAAACTGATGAATTCTAAAATGAATACATTTTGTATTTTACTAGTTTAGATATTGAAATACCAAGAGTCATTGTATGGTAAATTTTGCAAGAACCCCTTTGTAAAAACATGTTAACATCCTTCGTCTCCTGCCGTAAATATTTCAAAGGATAACGCACGCAACATTCCGCTAAGTCCATAAGTAATAAATTTCTCTACGTCGAGGCACTGTCCCAGGAAGCAAGCAAGTTTTCTTCGTCGTACGAATTAATTTCATGGTTTTTATTGCTGTCGTAAACTCCGTTCACATCGTTATTATTTAGGTCGTCCTTTATAACTATGAAGGATTTCTCGTTCCCACCAGCTCGTATTTGATCCTTTGAACCGTACTCTCCCTTTACAAACCTATCATTGAAAATGTCACTCTGTAAATTGAAACGTTCGTACGAATTTCTTCGCGACAAACATTTTTTCATAGGCACTAATTCAGACGTAGGCGATATAAACCTTGGCGAGTCCGCCCTAGGAGACAAAAACATGGGCGAACCACTCCTAAATACTCCCAATTCCCTTGACGTAACGTTCCAAACTAGTAAAACAATAATTTTTGAAAAAATGCCCTAAGCATTTGATTTATCATTGCAGCACTTAATAGGACATAAGTTTTGTATATTCTGCTGATTTCGTTCTTCCTACTTAATGAACGTCTTTGAACCAATAGCACTCTGAACATAATGTCTGTACAAAACCACTTTTTGTGTTATGTTTCATAAGACTGCAAGCTGTGTGATAAAAGGCAGTGCTTATTTGATAAAGCAGCAATTTTACCATCACATTGTCTATGTTTATATATTGTGCAGAGTAGTTAGATTCCTTTTCTACATGTTTCAAGAAATAACAACTAAGAATTGTAGAATGTAATCAATTTGTTAATGTTGTAGTTTATTATTACCACCTACATTTATTATGTGAATGTATAACTAACTAATTGTTTTGTTATTAAATTTGTGTAGAAGCTAGATTAACTGAATTGTTACTAATTGATTAATTATTAAGTAATTGATGCACTAATTTCGTCGCTCCGTCCTTTCACCACCAGAGAAAATATACAGAGACGAAAATAGAAGCAGTCTGATAGAATATTGTAAATTATCAACGTTAGAATTACTATTGTAGATTTCAAACATCACGTGATGTTTTTAATGTTTCCTACTCCTTTATTTTGTGTTTAAAGCATTATTCTAACTGTGAGACTTGCTTAATCCATCAAAACAACTGTAATTGCATGGCGATAAATCAGTACTGTAAGGAGGGTGTTCTCTGATGATTTTCACGTTTAACTTTCTACACTAATGCTTTAACAAAGTCCCCTCTTTATGTATAAAGCTTTTAGCAAAATTTTTAAAAAGATTTAGTCTTTAAACCGTTTCTGAAATCTGTTCAATATTTCTATTGATTTACCGTTTCTCTTTGGTCCACTCATATAGATAGATTCCTTTAATTACCCCCTGGTGGTCATTCTCATATTAATTTGCTTCCTGACTCTCAAGAATATAATTTGATTCGGTCTCGTGTTACTTACGTATTGTATTTTGAGTGAATTATGTACCGATGATAAAACTGGGAAAAAGAAATTAACGATAGGGGTCATGTTGCCTGTTTATTAGGTATACACGCGATTTGTTCGAGTGAACTTAATAAATTAATTGGAATATTAACATTCGTTGTTATCAAATTGTTGTCTAGCACGTGGTTTCAATCATACTTATTACTTATTTTTTATTCATTTGAATAACGAGACAAACTCGAAAAAAATCGCCTGCACGTAATTTCATTAAGAAAATTGGGTAATTTTGGGAATAATAGCTGCAATTGGGGTTGCACGAGTCGAAAAAGTAAAATAATCACGAAGAAAAAAAATATATGTAGCCTTATTTCGAAATTCTGAACCAAAATATAAATATTCTCAATTATTTTGCTTATTTCATTTCGAAAATAAATAACACATTGGATACTTATTCTGTTTTCTCGTAAACTAACTTTCACTTATTTCTAAATGTAAATATTATTGTAATTTTTGTAATTGCTTGTTTTGTTTTTCGAAATATGGCTGTTAATGGAGTGCTAAAAGAATCTTATAATTTTTTGTTCGTAGATAGATATATATATATATATATATATATATATATATGAGGACTTAATAAGGCTGTCCAGTTTAAGGAATTCCCGGGGGGGTGACGATTGAATAAAGATATCCGAAAAAATAATATATTTGTCAGGTCCAAATCAGGATGTCCATAGTCTATNTTCAAACAAACAAAACTTTTTAGAAGAAATAGGCAGTGTAACTTGTGAAAAACTTTGGCACTACAAACTAAAGCTATCAACAATAAAGTCAGGATTAAAATGAAAGTAACCTAGGAAGAAATTCCCTTGCATGTTGTTGATTTCGTACCAGCCCACACCAACAAAACAACCCCCTCCCTTCCATCATGTCCTTAGACTGTTAGCCGCAAAAAAAAACAGGAGATCTAAAGTACATGTTTGTGTCAACTCCCCGTTCCTCCTGATACTTTCTCGTCCCTTAAAAAAAAAACTGTTCCCTTCCCAGGAAATAGTAGGCAGTATGCGTGACTTGAAAAAGTCTCTTAACTATTCCGGAGAGACTGACAGTTTTCCTTATTAGTCAAGGGACGTCTCAAGATACCTCAGTGACCTCCTAACCTCGATCTTAATTCGGTATACGACACCGACCACATCGTGGGTATTATGTTAGCGACAAAGGTTATTAACACGAAACATACTCGGTCAATATTTTTCTGAACGATTTTCAGATTAGATAGAGACTTATAGCCTAAAATCACTATGAAGATTAAAATTGTACATAGACATGATAAACCCAATAATTGTTAATGCTTTTTTATTGACAATGGTGAGAAAAATAGATTCTTATAACAGAGTTGAATTTTAAAGAATCAGAATCAAAATTAAAACATTATATGGAGACCCATATTTCACCATTCGCTATTTAAAACGAAATCTGGACATTTCGAAATGCCCATGGTCAATAACTGTACCTACTAATTAAAGCATATATATTTGTTGCTAAATATAACAAACTTTTAAAGCTCGAATTTTAACAATTTAAACTTTAAATATGAACAAATAAAATTTCAATAAACTGTAACTATGCGACAAGGTTATGTTTTTTAGATAGAACAAAAAACATTTATAAGTACATAAAACTGATGAATTCTAAAATGAATACATTTTGTATTTTACTAGTTTAGATATTGAAATACCAAGAGTCATTGTATGGTAAATTTTGCAAGAACCCCTTTGTAAAAACATGTTAACATCCTTCGTCTCCTGCCGTAAATATTTCAAAGGATAACGCACGCAACATTCCGCTAAGTCCATAAGTAATAAATTTCTCTACGTCGAGGCACTGTCCCAGGAAGCAAGCAAGTTTTCTTCGTCGTACGAATTAATTTCATGGTTTTTATTGCTGTCGTAAACTCCGTTCACATCGTTATTATTTAGGTCGTCCTTTATAACTATGAAGGATTTCTCGTTCCCACCAGCTCGTATTTGATCCTTTGAACCGTACTCTCCCTTTACAAACCTATCATTGAAAATGTCACTCTGTAAATTGAAACGTTCGTACGAATTTCTTCGCGACAAACATTTTTTCATAGGCACTAATTCAGACGTAGGCGATATAAACCTTGGCGAGTCCGCCCTAGGAGACAAAAACATGGGCGAACCACTCCTAAATACTCCCAATTCCCTTGACGTAACGTTCCTAGACGACATACACGCGAGCGATTCGCCTTGTAGAGACGATCGCCTAGACAAAGTTCCTCCAGGAGTTAAACACCTAGATGTAACTCTTTTGGGAGATAATCGACCAGGTGAAGCACCTCTGGAAGTTAAAGACTCAGATGGATCATCTTTAAGAGATAGTGGTCTAGATGAAACATTTCTAGGAGATAAACACCTGGGTGAAGTGTCTCCGGGAAACAAACGTTTAGGTGAAACGATTCTAGGAGACGAATGTTTAGATGAAACCTTTTGAGACGATAAAATTCTCGTTGAAAACTGTTTAGGAGACGATATTCTAGATGAAAAGCTTTGAGACGAAGGTCTCCTAGGTGAAACACTTTTAGGTATTGGTTTCTTGGATGTGACAGTTTTCTGTGGCAAATTTCGACTAGAAGAAACGCTTCTTGTTGATAAACTTCTACGTGGAGTATTTTTAGAAGAAGTGTGCGCTTGTGGTGACAAAAACCTTGGCGGTAAATTTACAGGCGATAAACATCTCGGTGTTGTAGTCATAGGAGTGTGTATTAAAGACGAAATTGGAGAGTAATATGGATCTTTGTAAGCTAAATTCGGTACTTCTACAAATTTATCAAACTTTCTTGGAGAAGTTTGTCGCCTAGTTACGTTGCGGTTCCGGCTGTCACTTTGTTGTTGGGAAGACTTTGGAGCAATTAACTTTTTATTTGTCGTTTTACCAATCGCTGTTGTTTCTCCAGATAGTTTATTATTAAGCATGAAATTGGGTTTAGTAATTGATTTATTATTGTCAATAGTTTTTGAAGTAATAATTTGAGCTTCAGTTTTTGATGGTGTTGTTGCAATATCTTCCTTGTTCTTGCCATTAGACGAGGCCGGCACTTGTCTACAAAAAAGATATTATTACAAATTGTTTCAATCATAAAGTACGTATGTATATAACAAATTAAAAACCGCGAAAATGTTCAACTAGGACATTATTAGACATATCAATCATTTAATCAGTTTTACGTCCCGAAATCCAGAAAGTTAAATTTTAGTTGGGATAATATAAAAAATCATTTCATAAGTGAATGTATAAATAAGTGTAAGAAGAAAATTTAATGAAAAGGCAATAATTATTCTAGAAAGTATATTCAAATTATTTTATAAATAAATGATATGCAAGGAGAAGTTCGAGATAGCTTTGAATAAAATGGAAGCGGTATTGACAAAACATGAAAATAAACAAAAGTAGAACAAAAATATTGGTATGTAAGGGAAGAAAAATTAGAGAAAAAGCGAATATAAAGATAGGAGACGAAAACTTAAAAGTACGTTTTTGAAGGAAGTAATTAATAAGGAATTTTCAATGAAGTATTTTCTGTAGATCGTAAATCTTAAGACGGTGTCGGTTTTAAGTATTCAGCAGGTTTACAAAAACTTGAGCACAAAATACTTATCCCAATATATTTCTTGTGAAAACGTTAAAAGCGTATTATTTAACTATTAAATAAAAGAAAAAACTGGTAACTTCTATCTAAAAATTTCTTTTTAAATGGACAAATTCAGTCAATTACAGGTTTTCGTTTTTCCTAGCGGAAGGCACCTTTTCGGCTGCTTGAAGGGCTGACAGATTGTCGAAGGGTCTGTGCTTTCTCTCCAAATTTTCACGTATAAGGTAAGCCTGGTAAGCCTTTCGGTACTCAGGCTGACATTCGAATGGTCCTTCTAACGATAGTTCTGGCATTCGTCGTATTGGAACTACTCTAGGAACGTTTAAGTACGGTACATACTTATCACGTTTTTCTGTTTGAAGTAACAGCTACAAAAAAATGTTTTATAATCACCCTATTATCACACGTCAATTGGTAACATTTTTTCAATTCAATAGTAAATTTTGTATGTAGGAGGTGTGGAAATTAACTTCTAGGAATTTAGTTATAAGTCTTCCCCTAACAACCTACAGGGTTCGATCTTTACACATTCCCGAAACTTAATTACTGCGCCTCGTATATCTTAAAATTTTCGAAATCCAGTGCGCATTGACTCACAGTTATTTCATAATAATCATCAAAAATAAATTTAATTTTTGGAAAATATAGAAATAATAATGAACTTTAGGGCATTTTCTTTATGTGTGACAATAAAAAATAATCCTGAAAGCAATCTAAATCCACAAACTTTTATGATTGTTCTAAAAGGGCTCAATTTGGTATGATTTTGTTCAACAGTGCCTCAAAGTCTTTTATTAAATTTTAAAGTGCAAGAATTTTTTAAAATCCTATTGTTAATTTATTAATCCAACTCATATACTAATGTTAATTGACATGGGGTCTTCCGCCCTACTGTCCGTCTTTGCACTAGGGTGTAAATCGACTCAACAACAATACACAAAAGTTTAAATTTTTAGAGAATATCTTAAATGTTTCACCCTTATTTAATAACATGTCGGTTTGCGATACTACAATGTCGCCGTTACCCTTAAAGACTTACATTTCCTTCCAGTGACAAATGCGTTTCTGGTTTCTTCACGGATGGTCTTTGTCGCGGAAAATCAACGTAGGAGCTCCTGTACTCGGGTTTCAAATTAATCCCGTTTTCCATTTTTATATCTTCGTTTAAGTGCGACTGGGGTGGCTTACGTCGTTCCGGCAAGGGCAAACTTTTAGCTGAAGATGCGTAGAAGTCAACATAGGCGTTCTTGTACTCGGGATTCATATCAATGTCCCCTTCGAGCGATATGTTTCCGGTACTTCTCTGTCGTTCTCGTTTTGGAATTGTCTTCACAACAAACTGAACTTTATTTTCAGTTTTGGTATCGATTTCTCCCTCTTGGGTAAGGTTTGATTTGGGTATGGAGGCCGTTCTTCTTTCTGGTTTGTCATACATCACGTACTTTGCTTTATATTCGGGTTTTCGTACGGTGTCGTCGTCTCCCAAATGGAACTTCCTTCCAGGTTCGGACTCACGTAAGTGGGGAATTATGGGATGAATGAGCTGGTGCTGTGTAAATCTTGACGCGTGTTCCGTTTTCATGTCGTAATCTCCTTCCGTCTTGAGATTATTAACTGGCACTATTTTCTCAGATGGCTTGCATTTATGCTCTACAAAAAATTGCTTGTATTCGGGCATTAATTCTAGATCACCGTCTAACTTTAGGTTGGTGTTCTTTTTTGTTAACTTCGGACGTGATTGAAGCACTGTCGGAACGTACTTCTCCCTGTTCTCCGTGAGAAGTAGTAAGTCTCCTTCTAAATGAAGATTGGTATCTTTTTTATACAAAGGGGGTCTTTCTTGTAATTGGATGGGAGAGAACTTGTCCCTCATTTCAGTCTTCTTCTCCATATCTCCTTCCAACTTCAAAGTAGTGGAGCGTTTGGCTAATTCTGGTCTCCGTTGGAACGGAAATTGTATAAACTTGTCGGCTTTTTCCGTTTGAAGAAAATGCTCTCCTTCTAATTGTAAATTGGTATTTTTCTTCAGAAATCGCCAGTGCGAAGCATGTCTATGGTTTTCGAGTTGACTGCGGAAATCTGGCGGAGTTTCGCTAAAAACGAATAACATAAAGAAATTTCTCTCTCAGTAAACGAATTTTTATGGACGACGGTCACTGTATGACTGCTGAGTTTGTTCCTTATTTTCTTGTAAGGTGTGCCCCAATATTAAGATTTATGAGAAATCGATTGACTAAAGGCTTATTAATAAAGCGTGTGCTGATGCGATTAATTGAATTGCAAATATTTCCTCTCTCTTCTTTGAATATGTTTGCTTTTTAATTGACCCATTTAATTTATACATATCAGCACTATATACGTACTCGTACGTTTCTTACTAATTTGACCGATATTATTATATTAAAAAAAAAAATTGGCAGTTATAGGGACTGCCGACAGAAGTGAAAACTTTTAGTATTAAAAGTTGAAATTTCACAGTGTTTGAATAAAAATTATCAACATCATTCTGTTATCAATTATATGCATGTTTATATGGTTTTTTATTATTCAAATATTTACATAAATTTCAATGTAAGTACTTGATTTTTAACATTGTTTGCATCATTGTCATCATTAATTTCAACAATACTTTTTGTACTTTCAATTATTTCATTGTGTTCTAAAAAAGATACGATAGGCTTATGGTAGTAACTAAAGTAAGAAATGAAAACGTTTGATTGAAATTTATCTAAGTATCGCGTAAAAACCGCATCGATCGTCGTAGCTGTATAGCTACAGAAGTTTTCACTTCAAAAAATTGGAAATTACAATTTACAAAATTTTCTGCCTATCGTTAATCCACAATAACTATTTTGCCATACAGTGGCAGCTTCGTTAGATGAATTAGCAATTAAATGTTTTATAACAAAGAAATTGTTGTGTTTCTCAGTTTTTTTGAAGATGATTTTGTAAACAAAACACCTCTCCGTTTTGTTCTTTCTCATTCTTTAGATTTAAACAGAAAAAACAGTATTACCATTACCGCTTACAAAAACGTAAACATATATTTGGTGACCGTATTCAACGTAACAAAGCAATACATTAATGATAGAATGAAGATTCGGGCTATAAGGCCGTGGTCTAAGCCCTGTCCTGGGACCCAGTCGCTGTCGAGACTTCGAGATATAATCTACGTTCACGTTGTCAACGCAGCACCACCACTGAGGATGTCAGCCGCAGTAGCTGACGAAACGTCTGGACGGAATAGCTCACTTGGACCACGGCCCTATAGCCCGAATCTTCATTCTACTATGTATTCCGGCCGTGAAAGCATTTGTTCTTATATTAATACATTAATGGTCAACAGAATAAAATAAACGCTTACACTAGCGATATACTGTTGATTACTTTTATATTTGTTTGTAAATTAGCCGAAGCCTTCACGGCTTTCACGCCATCATTCACTGAATATGCTCAAAGTAAGTTGACGCACTTTGTAAATTAAAAAGGTGGCGATTTTAGATTCCATGAAGATTAAATCGTGCGCTACATGGATCGATTCAATTAATTTTTTACCGTCCGTGAATAAATACTTATCAAGGTTACCTGTTATGTGTTTTGTCGCCATTTTCCATTGTATTTTCTCTTTTGACCTTGCCCAGATTAAAGTAGTTTACGTAAGAGACCTTGTATTCCGAATTCAAATCTAAAGGGCCTTCAAGACTGATCAAACTCTCCGGTACCTTTCGTTTACCACGATATTCGTACTGAAACGCTTTATTGAAGTCATTGAGATATTATTTCTATTTCAAACAATTTACTCTACCTGAGATATATTCTCTTTGTTGACGCCATCTACAGATCCGCCAAGAATGTGGAAATTCTTAAAGCATCTTTGATATTCCGATAACAAACCTTTAAACGATCCTTCCAAAAGATGCAGGTTGTCTTTCGGGTGATCTGCAATACTAATTACAATTAAAAGATCAACTTAGAAGCGATAAGAACTATTCATCAATGTAATTCACGATCAACTAATGATAACGCCAAAAGTTTTAAATATCGTTCCTAACTGATTGTGAATGATTTTCAAAGACTATTAAAGTGTGAAGTAAGCATAAGTTAGAGTTAAAGATTTTTAAATAAATTTGACCATAAAATATTGTTACAATTTTTGCCAGTCTTCTACACGATTTATCAATTTAATACAGCCAACTTATTTACGTTTTTAAAGATTGTCACTGCGGTTTGTTTATCATCATAAATGACATTAAACTACTTCAAAACAATATTTTATTTTAATAACAACATTGTGGATTAAGAAAATATTGCATCTACTTATTTTGTACTTCATCACATCCGAATGTATCTTACCAGCAATTTTTTTCCTGCAATAGTGTTTCAATTCATCTACGGTTATTCCTGGAGGAAATCCCGACGCCCAGAAGTCTTTACTTCTAGCGGTATACACACAGGAATCTGACATTGATCCGCAATCTTCCTCATATTTTCTGAACAAGGAAAATTTTAATTAAACAATCTCAGTTATATATACTAACAACTGCAATAGGCGTATTTCTAGATGAGATACAACTCCTAATAATCCTTATTACTAAACACGTCTCTTTAATCGTTTCATGACTTAGTTGTTACACTCATCCTGCTTTATGTAAAGATACATACAATTAGATTATAGTTACGTGTAATTTTACCTTTAAAACGATAGTACGTACAATTACGCTGTCTGAACTAGATTGTAGATTTTATCATAGTTTAAACATATCTCGAACGGTTAATTCAAAATATCGACAACCCCATTGCATGTCCGCGTTAAATTAGTAATTCCCTTATTAGAAATAGTACCAGTAATCTCACACACATCGTAATAGGCATCAATTATACAGGTGCCTAAGTCAGTAAGGTTACACAATTGTGTAGAACACGAAAGTTGTTTTTGAGCATTTTACAAAAATATTATCTTTAGCGTTTAAAATTCTAAAAACTATTTGATATGGTGCAGTGTATACAGAAACAGGGGTTTTGTTGGGCTAAATATAAATCCGTTTTCCTTCACCTTTCTAACAACTGATATTACCAACAATAATAATAATAATAATAGACACCTCTTTAGTCTTAATAAATTATTCATCAGTTCGCTCTTTATGTAATTAGTTAATTGCGTGTATCACCCCTCCACAGAATGACAAGGCATAATTTTAACGTTTAGAGTTCATTAACACCAAGCGGCGAATTTTATCAACATACTTGAAATTGAAAATTAAATTTTACACTATCTATCTATAGAAATAGAACGTGACCAGCATAATTTAGGAGAATAAACAACGGCTTCTCCGCTGAAACAGGTCCTTCATTATGAAAGAATTAATTAACTTTTACAATATAAATCGCTTTTTATGAAGCAGAATTTTAAAAAGCGCTATTTTTCAAAAAGTATTTTTTTGTACATCCCTGCACAAATCTATTGTCATTGAAATGTAAAGAAATATAAATTTTTGTGTGCGGCAACAGAAAATAGGTAGAAATATCGTAGTAAAATTATAAGATTCATCAAAAATGACCTAATCTAGTTTATTTAATTCAGGCAGTATATGAGTGGGTCTCTGATAACTGATATTTAATGACTATTACATTCCTAAAAAGCAAAGAAAATTGTATAAGATAAAAAAATTGAAGGCAGTATATGAGTGGGTCTCTGATAACTGATATTTAATGACTATTACATTCTTAAAAAGCAAAGAAAATTGTATAAGATAAAAAAATTGAAGGGAGCAGTACAACTAAAAGTTTTATTCACCTTGTCCTAGGGAATTCCAAATTATTCTTTCCCTTCAAACAAACAAAACTTTTTAGAAGAAATAGGCAGTGTAACTTGTGAAAAACTTTGGCACTACAAACTAAAGCTATCAACAATAAAGTCAGGATTAAAATGAAAGTAACCTAGGAAGAAATTCCCTTGCATGTTGTTGATTTCGTACCAGCCCACACCAACAAAACAACCCCCTCCCTTCCATCATGTCCTTAGACTGTTAGCCGCAAAAAAAAACAGGAGATCTAAAGTACATGTTTGTGTCAACTCCCCGTTCCTCCTGATACTTTCTCGTCCCTTAAAAAAAAAACTGTTCCCTTCCCAGGAAATAGTAGGCAGTATGCGTGACTTGAAAAAGTCTCTTAACTATTCCGGAGAGACTGACAGTTTTCCTTATTAGTCAAGGGACGTCTCAAGATACCTCAGTGACCTCCTAACCTCGATCTTAATTCGGTATACGACACCGACCACATCGTGGGTATTATGTTAGCGACAAAGGTTATTAACACGAAACATACTCGGTCAATATTTTTCTGAACGATTTAGAGATTAGATAGAGACTTATAGCCTAAAATCACTATGAAGATTAAAATTGTACATAGACATGATAAACCCAATAATTGTTAATGCTTTTTTATTGACAATGGTGAGAAAAATAGATTCTTATAACAGAGTTGAATTTTAAAGAATCAGAATCAAAATTAAAACATTATATGGAGACCCATATTTCACCATTCGCTATTTAAAACGAAATCTGGACATTTCGAAATGCCCATGGTCAATAACTGTACCTACTAATTAAAGCATTTATCTTGCAATAAAACTTTTTCATAAATTTATTCATTTTTATATTGTACTTTTTTATTAAAGCCAAATTAGTATCTCTATTTTGGTGATGATTTGCATTTAATATTATTCTTTGTAGTTCCTTTTGAAAATTTAGATGATAATCAGTCCTGCTTCTTCTGATTACAATAAATTTTAAACTTACAGTAGATTTTTTTTAATTACTGCAGTAATTTTTCCGAGATAAGACTAACTCGAATCATTATCCAGTGAATTTCATATATTTTAGAAAAAACCCCATCAAAATTGGCTAAGAAACGGCTGATATATCATCGTTTAAATCTTACACTACAAAATTTAAATTAAAAGGTGCTTAAAGGGTAATGAACGCGATTCCAATCGTGACGTAGACGAAATTCTTCGGAAAATACCTTCATAAATTTGACCTAATTTCCTATTGGCTGATGAATCGAAGTAACCAATCAGACGCTCCGGAATGCATTTTAACAATAAACTTGGCAGACATTAGTCAGTCATGCGTGGTGCTTGGGAGGGTGTACTTCGCTCCGTCAAATTAATGTTTAAAATTACGTAAATATTCAATGTTACTTTATAAATATGATTATATATTATATTGTGGTCATGCTAATGAATAAAACGAATTAAATAATCAGCCCTGAATCTCTGAATGCCTTAATTACCATTACCTTGAGGCGCTTGAACTAAATTTGGCACTGATGACCAGAATTACAGGGGTTATAAATTCACCCTTTTTATCAGTGACCTTAATCTTTGCGGCACTATTTTCCAAAATAATTTACACGCAATGAGCTAGGAGTTCAATTTTTACATTAGAGAGTCAGAAATTAGTGTCTTTTTCTTTTTATTATCTTAAATTTTATTATTATGATAAGCGGTAAGTGACTTTACATATGACACCTTTGCAATTTCACCTATTTTTTTCTTTTTATTTTTTTTTGGTAGATTATAGTTGTATGATAAAATTATGATTTATATTTTAACTTTTTCGTAAATACATAAGTACCTATGTCGCTACTTAAATGCTCTTATACGAACACGTTACTGGCATCGGGGATGTAGCTCAGTGGTAGAGCGTTCGCTTTGCATGTGAAAGGCCCCGGGTTCGATCCCCGGCATCTCCACACGCTTTTTACAATTTTATTTTTGTTATTCATACAAAAGTGTATATTCTTGTACATACCTTCGTTTTAAGTAGTCGGTCATTATTTTAGTAAACGTTTTAATTACTTTTCTTCACTTGGATGTAACACTAACTCATCTTCAAATACTTGTAAGAATTAATTGTGTAATTTGCAACCTAGTTTAATCTCGTTTCGACAATTCACTGCGCACAATTTAGGTTGCGATTTCCAATTTTACTAACTTTCACTGCACGTTTGCTTGTGCGCAATATGTTTTTCTTTTTATTCGTGAAGAAATTAAATGCTGGGAACCACGCAAACTTTACACTACTTGTAGACCGGTGCCTCTAACTCTAATAATTGAAGTAATAGATTGCGAAAGATAAGCATCTTTATGCTAATGAAAATTCCTATTGTCGCCTACCTCTACTGAAAATAGATAAAGTTTTACATTGTACTAAATAATCGACTTCTTAAATTTACATTTACCAACTTCTGCACTTCTTATTTTTTAATTTTCATCAGCTAATCAGGTGTAAAGTAAGAGCAACAGTAAATGGAATCGACTTTTTAATTGCCATCATAAAAATCGGATTTTGCAATTCTCATTTACTAATGAGCTAGGTTTTAAACTTACCTTAAAAAATTGTTCGTCCTTCTTTATTAAAAGGTTGTAAAAAANAAAATTATGATTTATATTTTAACTTTTTCGTAAATACATAAGTACCTATGTCGCTACTTAATTGCTCTTATACGAACACATTACTGCCATCGGGGATGTAGCTCAGTGGTAGAGCGTTCGCTTTGCATGTGAAAGGCCCCGGGTTCGATCCCCGGCATCTCCACACGCTTTTTACAATTTTATTTTTGTTATTCATACAAAAGTGTGTATTCTTGTACATACCTTCGTTTTAAGTAGTCGGTCATTATTTTAGTAAACGTTTTAATTACTTTTCTTCACTTGGATGTAACACTAACTCATCTTCAAATACTTGTAAGAATTAATTGTGTAATTTGCAACCTAGTTTAATCTCGTTTCGACAATTCACTGCGCACAATTTAGGTTGCGATTTCCAATTTTACTAACTTTCACTGCACGTTTGCTTGTGCGCAATATGTTTTTCTTTTTATTCGTGAAGAAATTAAATGCTGGGAACCACGCAAACTTTACACTACTTGTAGACCGGTGCCTCTAACTCTAATAATTGAAGTAATAGATTGCGAAAGATAAGCATCTTTATGCTAATGAAAATTCCTATTGTCGCCTACCTCTACTGAAAATAGATAAAGTTTTACATTGTACTAAATAATCGACTTCTTAAATTTACATTTACCAACTTCTGCACTTCTTATTTTTTAATTTTCATCAGCTAATCAGGTGTAAAGTAAGAGCAACAGTAAATGGAATCGACTTTTTAATTGCCATCATAAAAATCGGATTTTGCAATTCTCATTTACTAATGAGCTAGGTTTTAAACTTACCTTAAAAAATTGTTCGTCCTTCTTTATTAAAAGGTTGTAAAAAAGTCATTTTCGTACTATTCTCGTTTAATTTAAGTATTTGATTATCAAAGACACAAAATGTTTACATTTGGAACAATCGTTACGTTTAAGACTACGGAATGGTTCTGTTGGTTTTATTATTAATAACCTGTGTTATTGTTTTTATTATCAATGCAGTAAAATGCAGTAATTACAATTGCATTTACCATCATGTTTTATTGTGTGGGTCATTATGATATGCCAAAGTGACATCGACTTTATTTTGTGATAAAAAAAAATAATTTGAAAAGTTACAGTGAAATTTTATTTAGTAAATAAAATTATAATAAATATAAAATAGATATTGTAAACATTGCAGGATTGGTATCTT